GTGCCCAAGATCCTGAGAGGAGAATGGAGGAGAAGGGATTACGGCGTGACCATTCCCCCTGGGGGGTGATTTCTCGCTTTCTGTCTCTAATGTCTGTCTCTGTCTGGCGAGCGCACACGCCCTATAGGGAAAATCTCTCCAAAACAAAACAAAACAAAACAAAACAAAACAAAACAGCCTATTTAATATTTAGCTTTATAAGTAGTAGTTGTAACACCTTGACAAATGCAGATTGCAACTTCTTTTCAAGAAAACATTTTAGTCTCTTTCTTTTACAACGTTGTTTACTGAGATGGCTGCAGGCAAGGCCCTTCCCACTGGAGATGGCACGCACCCCCCATCCCTGCTGTTCTTAGAGCCCTGAGGACAGCACACCCCAGCCCTGCCATTCTTAGAACCCCTGAGGATGGCACACCCCAGCTCTGCTGTTCTTAGTCCAGAGCGTGGACACAGAGAGGAAGTGTCTGTCCTACCACAGTCGAGGGGAGCGACAGCACAGGAGTGTGAGCTCCACATAGTAAGAGACACCCACTGAGCACAGAGAAATAGCCAGGCAAGGGAGATTCTCATAATCTTTGGAGAACCATTTTCTAGGGAAAAAACAAAAAAAAAGTCTTGCTTTTGTCAGTTAAACTGTCCCTGATCCTATCCATTCCGAGTGTTCCTCTCCTGCGTCTTTCAGTCTATTTCAGAAACTAAATTCGTAAATGAGGTTCTGGCAGGGGCAGGGCAACTGTGGAAGTGGTCACCTGGCATGTCTGTCGGACTTGGCCACACAGTGCCTGACCCCCTGAGCCCCTGCATGTGGGTGTGGGGTCCTGGCTCACACAGCAGACGCCTCTTAGCTGGAGGTAGTACATGTTCCTGAGGAAGGTGTGGGCTGGGGCCAGGGGCTTCGTTTGTTAGTGAGCAGCATCGGAGAAATGGTTGGATTATTCCCTTCATATGTGATCCTGAACTTGGCTGTCACCTCACCCAGGGCTATGTGACATATGTAACTTCTGACCCTTAGCATCTGTAACTGGGGTTCAGCCCCTGCCCAATCTGCAGAGGAGGGTAAGGAACTGATTACGTGAATGAAACCACAGGACATTTTTTTTCTACTTTGAATTTTATTGTAAAATATTTATCTTTCATATATATAAGCATATGTTGTTATAACTCACTTCTATTTTTTTCCCCCTTTAAGAGTGTATGTACAACAGAGAGAGAGTGAGGAATCACCTTTAACAAAGCCCAGTCATGCCACAATCCTGTTTTTTTCCATTTCTCCACCTTGGGCACACTTGCATCTGCCAGCATGTTTTTCAGGTCACTGGACTGGGACTTGAGCCACAGATGGCCGTGGGAGACCTGGCTCGCTCTACCGTGCGCTAACCACTGTACTGTACTGCCAGCCTGGTCTGAGGTGCCTCTACATCGTCAAGATGAAAATGATCTCTTGCAGTGAGAATAAGTGTAAGTGAACAGTGTTTAACATCACAATTGAATTTATCTAGGATATCACAAAATTTGAATTAAGAAAATTCTCGGTACTCAAATTTTAAAAGGTGGTGTTAACATATTGCTTC